TTTGCTATGTCTGCTGTCTCTATTCCATCTGTCTTTTATGTTCCTCAGTTATCTGTCAGTTTATTATCTATCAGTTAGCTTGATGCCTCTAGTTTTGATGTTATCTTTTCTTATTCTATTTGTTTTGTTCAGACAACTTTTCTGATATTTGAGTAAAACTTCAAATGGTTTCAGTTGCCGGAGTGGAAAAAACAGGCTTGAAATCAATTCTGATCCCAGTGCTTTGTACCAACTTTGATTAGTCAGTTATTTTGAAACTATGTCGTGGTTACTAACCCAAATCATCCTTGCTTACTATGATTTATCTCATTGCATTATGTTAATGACTACTACCCTGGTTACTAATGTGGTGCAGGGGAGCTGATCCACATGCTTGTGACAGAGAAGGTAAAACACCTCTTCAGCTTGTCACGGAAACTTGTGACGATATTGAAATCCTTGCTCTCTTGAAAAACCCGAACAGATAGCATTGTGTACGATATTGATCACTTTAAGGCTGCCCATTTAGAAGTCTTGGAATGGCATGGAGGATTTTGACCATTTGAAGTCTCGGTAAGGAAAGAAATGATTTTTGTATCAAAATGAAACCCCGCTAGACAGGAATGGCCAATATTAGTTGGGGATTCAGAGGAGTTGGGCTACTTTGCAATGTGGGGGTGATGTGCATATTCCGATTTCAAACACCCACAATTTACCTCTGGATTGAGAGCTTTGGCAGGCTGTGTAATGGAGGAGAGAGAGGGACAAACCCATGTGATAAAGTGGAGAGAGAGTCGGTGAGTGGGGTGCAAAAGGTGAAGGAGAAATGATGGATTGAAAATGGTTTGGGTCAAAAGTGGACACTGTTAGTGGGGAACATGAGTGCATTGATTATTTGATATAATAATAATAATAATAAGGAGTAGGTGAAGTGGAGGTGGTAGTGGTGTAGTGGGTTAGGTTTAGTGGAGTAGGTGAGGTGGTAGTGTTGTAGTGGGTTAGGTTTAGTGGAGTAGGTTTAAGTGGGTGAAGTAGGTGGAGAGTATGTGGATTTAGTGGGTTAGGTTTAGTGGAGTAGGTTTAAGTGGGTGAAGTAGGTGGAGAGTATGTGGATTTAGTGGGTTAGGTTTAGTGGAGTAGGTTTAAGTGGGTGAAGGTTTAGTGGAGTAGGTAAGGTGGTAGTGGTGTAGTGGGTTAGGTTTAGTGGAGTAGGTGAGGTGGTAGTGTTGTAGTGGGTTAGGTTTAGTGGAGTAGGTTTAAGTGGGTGAAGTAGGTGAGGTGAGGTGGATTTTAACACTAATAAACCAAAGGCAATGAAGATTGATGCATAAGAGTAATAGTAGTCTCAATGTGATGCCTACAAGTTAATTAATGGTCAATGCCTTTTAGTTTGAGAAATTCCTGGAATTGAGTACTAAGATATTCACCCCCATTGTCACTTCTTAGAACTTGTAACTTGGTAGTGAATTGTGTTTCAACAAAAGATTTAATTCCAGAAAGTTAGTGAATACTTCACTCTCATAATGAAGAGGAAAAAGCCATGTGAATTTACTGAAATCATCTGTGAACAAAACATAGTATTTATAGCTTGAACAAGAAGCTGAAAAAGGACCCCATAGATCTGTGTGAATGAGAGCCAGTGGTTTATTAATAGTTGAATTGGACAAGTTAAAAGGTAGTCTATGACTTTTGGAAACACAACAATGCTCACATAGACTAGAAGTTTTATTAGTAGACAAATGACTATAAGCAAGAACATGACGAAGCTTCCTGGAAGAAGGATGGCCAAGTCTAAAATGCCAATTAGTAGCAGCATTGAGTGAACCAGGAGAAGAAGGCCTTGTGGAACAAGACAAGCAGACTGGAGATGAAGTTGCAACAAAAGTAGAAGAAGATGCAAGAGGATAGAGGCCATGAGAGTAAGAACCTCTATATAGCTCCTTCTGAGTAGTCTTGTCCTGAGCACCAAAAGAATGTTCATCAAAAGTAATGGTACAATGATTATCTTCTGCTAATTGATGAACTGAAAGCAAGTTTGGGGAAATGGAAGGAACACAAAGCATGTTGGTGAGATGAAAGGGAAACTTACGAGTTGGAAGTAAATCATTACCAGTGTGTGAAATAGGCAAGGTGGAACCATCACCAATAGCCACCTGATTATATCCTTGATAAGGTTGATAAGTGGACAAGTTACTCAGGTCATTTGTCATATGACTTGTGGCTGCAGAGTCCAAGAACCAATTTGAAGCAGATGAGGAAGTAGATGATGGTGAAGTCATAGCTGGAGTTGCAGCCACATAGGCTTTGGCTTATTGTGATGGAGTGTGTTGACCTGTCTGATAAGATGTGTCCCAACTGAATTAGCATTCTAGGGCAGTGTGATTTGCTTTCCACAGATCTGACAGATCACAGAATTAGTATTGTGACCTGTCCTACCACCTCTTTGATAGTGATGACCTCCTCTTGTTTGAAAGGGATTAACCTGAGTAGTCTGAGAACCTTGACAAGAGCCTCTATAGCCTCCCCTACCTCTTGTGGAATAGCGTCTGCCTCGAGAAGAAGAGCCTCTTTAGCCTCGAGTAGCAGAATAAGCAAATGGAATTTCTGCAGCATGAGTGTGTTTGAGTGAAGACTCAACATGAATGGATTCAGAACAGAGGAGCAGACAAATCTTCCAGAGAAATAGGAGCAGATCGGGCCCTAATTGTGGTTTTGAAAGCATTATATTCATCTGGTAAACCATTGAGAATTAACAAGATCAAATCCTCTTCATCCACATGTGATGAAGTTAAAGAAAGCTGACCTGAAATGTATTTGAATTGACTCAAGTAGTCTTCCATTGTTCAACCTTTTTTAGTAATTCGACTGAGTTTGTTCTTTAACTGATGAATATGAGATCTGGAAAGAGATGTGAATCTCTTTGCAAGAACATTCCAGACCTCAGAACTAGATTGACACTGAATCACAGATGTGTAAACAGATGGTGATAATGTTTCTGTTAGACAGTTCAAAAGATGGGTATCAATTGTGATCCATGGTGTATGTTCAGGATTCTGAACTTCATTATTGTTGGAATCAACTACACTGAGGGTGGACATACCTCTGATCCATCAATATATCCAAGAAGCTTCGTAGCTTTCAGGATATTATGCAATTGACTCTTTCAAACAATGTAATTTGTTGAATCAAGCATGGTTGTAACAAGAGCATTGAGATTAGAGATTAGTGTTGTCAGATTTGCAGGTAAAGAAGATGAGGAACTTGAAGCCATGGAGATTGCTGTTGCTGTTGTGAGGTTAGGGAGGTTAGGGTTTGGAATAGCCATTAAAGGACCTTTGCTTGTAGGAGCTTTAGAGCTTTGATACCATAAAGAAACTGAGATTCAGTTACAGAGGGTTCTAGTACATTATATACATGTGATACAATTGCTTAACCATAATTACTACCTAACCTAACCATAACTACTTGCATCCAACTATAGTTCTAACAAACTGACAACTTGCTCTGAGGAGAGTCAACCGAGGCTTCATCATACTGCAGCCTTGTCATGTGTGGCTTGAGCTGCAGCTGCTGTGTCTTTGGTTATGGCTAAGGCCGCAGCCTTGGCTACTGCAGGCTGCGGCTGCAGCTTTGACTGCTGCTGAGGCTGCCCTGTGTCTATGCTCTGCCCTGTGTTTATGGCTCAGATATCTTATCATACTCTTTTATTTAATATGTGAGTTGTGTCATTTATATTTTTTTCATTTATCGCAATAGTTATTTATTATTTATTATTGTAGTTAATACAATCAATAGAATATGATCATAATTTTGTAGTCAAACTATGTTGATAAACGATGTTTAGTCGATGATAATATTTTTGATTTTTTTATATTAGTATTGCATTTTAAATTTTTCAACAAATTTTTCGATTAGGAGTCATATACTTTGACCCAGTGTTATAATTGTGCATCCGTCTCTATGTGAGAGAGCGTGTTGGATTTTGATAATATATTTTTTCTCTATGCAGAGACGCCGGGAAATGGGAAGAAGGCATTACCGTCAACTAAACAGTAAATAGACTCTTTGGTAAGGCTTTTAAAACTCAATTCTACCACTTGGTTTGAGTGTGGTGTTTGGTTAGAATTTTCAAAAATTGATTCTATAGCCACTTTTGAAAACACGTCTACCCGGTCATCCTCCCCGAGCATCTCCAGACGTTTGGCCGATTGATCAGAACAGTGTTCGTGGTTTTTTTTTTTTTTTTTTTTTTTTTTTTTTTTTTTGTACCTGTTATTTTTATATTTGAAATAAAAAATATTTTCGAATTTTTTTTTAAATTTTTTTATGAGCTTTGAATAGAATTTTGGATTGTGTGTTTGGTTATGAGTTATAAATTTTTGAATCAAATATCATATGTCACATCAAAAATTTCAAACTCAATTTAAAACTTTTTTCAAAACTCATAATCAAACAAAATTTTCACACTCAAATTATAATTCCAAAACTCACTAACTCAAAATATAATTATATTCTCAAATCATAATTCTAAAACTCTACTAACCACTACCTTAGTTTTTTCAGCAATGGTTGGTGGCTCGAAAATACATGGCTCGAATGGCTCAAAACATCCAAAGCAAAACGACTTTGTTTTGGGTGCAAAACGACGTCGTTTTGACATATTCAAGCCATTTGAGCCACAGAATTCGGGCCACCAAACATTTTTCTAGTTTTTTTATATTCTTCACCCCCTTGCTTTTAGTTGAAATCTTAGTTTAACTCTTTTTATATTTCTTGTCTTTGTGTCATTTTGGTGATATTTTTATTTTGTCCTTTTTATTGATCTTAGTTTAACTCTTTTTATATTTCTTGGCTTTTTACTCGGTAAAAATTACTTTGTTGCTAACCAAAAAAATAAAACAAAATATTCTTTACCCCCCTCAGCTATGACTCAGTGATGCTGCTTATTATGTGCAGGCTGTTATTGCTACCGTTGCTGTCATTGGCGCTGCAAGCAATGACATTCTGAACAGCTTCTTTTCCTGCCCATCTAAAGATAATAAAAACATAATATGATCTTAATTTTTATAAATTTAAATTGTTTTGTTTTATTATGGTATCTTAATTTATTTTGTTCAAATATATAATTTGTTTCACGTGTATCTATTCGATATACATGTGTCTTTCAAGTGTCATGGTCTTAAAAAACAAATTTAATACATTTTGATGAGTGTTAAACATGTATCAAGAAATATCTAACGAATATTGGTGTCTGACACAGACACATCACTTTCTTAGAAATGTTTATACTTTTGAGATATTATATAATTAGTTGTGATGTGTTAAACAGTACGATGCTTGATTGCAAATTGAATAGGTAATTAAAACCTTGCTTGACATACTGATTAAGATTGGTAATTAACTTTCTAATCTTGTTTTGCTTGTTCTTGATACATTATAAATTAGTTTATTAATTGGATAAAATGATTTCGATATTTTTGAAGGACAATTCGCTTATCTATCATCTCTTATTCATTTATTAGGGGCGTCTCATAGAAATTGAATAACTACATAGTTAAAATATAATGGATGTTATATAATTGGTTGTAATGTGTTGAGCGTACAATGCTAGATTGGTAAATATGCCTCATCGGGTTTAGTTTGGTTAAAGAGTGGGCGATCTCTTATGAAATTGATATAGATTAACAAAAATGTTTGCAACTCGAGACTGAGAAGCTATTAATTGAAATTACAAATTTTATTCTTAAAATAATTCAAAGAAGAATGGAGAGGTGAAGGGCTGAAGAAATTTCACATGATGACAAATTCTTTAAGCACACAAGAAAATAACATGCACGTGTGCACGCAAACAAACAGCATGCACATGTCTACATCGTTACACCAGCTCACATAATGTGGAATTATTTTTTTCCGATTACGACATTGAGAAGAAAATTAATATTTATTTACTATTGTAAAAAAAATTCATTTTTGCCTTTGGTACAAATAGAAAGGACAGTAATGCTATGATGACCAATTTGATCAATTTTGAATAATCCATTATGCTATTTTATTTTATCTCACTTAGGAAAATTTAAATTCTAAATAAATAAATAAAAAAGGGGCAAATTTCATTTTATTCCCTGTAGTTTGGGCCATGTGCGGTTTACTTACCTAACGTTTGAAAATGACAATAGAACCTCTTTGTGGATTGTGAATTGAAGTGCGCCATTAACATTCTGTCCAACTTAATAGCAAGTGTGAAACATATTACATATAAGTATAAGGGGTTGTACGCTCATTTTCAAATTTCTTTCAAGGGAAGTAAATCACATATGAAATAAAGTACAGAGGGTTAAAGTGAGCTTTATCTTTCAAACAAATGATGAAAATACAGGAATATTTTAGTCTTTTTCATTAAATCGTTAACGGGGTTAACGGTATATTTTAGTCCACAATCCTCAAGGAGGTTATATAGTTATTTCCAAACGTTAGTAAGAAAAATTGCATATGGGCCAAATCACTGGAGATAAATTAAAAGATGCCCTAAAAAAAAACCTTGACTTAAAAAGAAAATGTTGTAGATGTTAGATGGAAAGTGGCTTTTGCATTTTTATTGTAACTAACAAAATTACCTTATGAATATTGAAATTTGAAATTATTTAATATAAAAACTATTGATATGACATTAAGCCTTCGTTTGGCAATAACTTTTTTAGTTGGCTTTTTAACTTTTTTAGTCGGAGACTTTTTTGTTTGTTTTGTTTTCTAATTTGACTTTTTGGACTTTTTGACACTGAAAATAATGTTCCCAAAAGTCAAATAACAAAATTGCCCTTCACTTGCCAACTCCAAAAACACCTCCAATTAATTACTGATTTTGCAATGGAATTACACTTTTTATTTTTTGTGTCATTTCTCTTTTTTGACATTATTTGTACTGTGCTTCATGAAATTTGTTTTACATGGCTGCTGATTTGCAACAGGAAAAATATAAAACAAATGAAACAAATATTACGGAATTAACGGAAAAGTTATTTTCCATATTACAAGGCTTTGCTGTTTGTTAATGAAAAATTTGTTACACTTCTAGTATGGCATTTCCATACGTCAACGAACATGGTCCACCAAGTCACTGTTGCATATCCCCCCAAAAAAAAAAAGGTCGCAAATACATTAATGAAATTAATTTTCCAAACCGCGGCAAAGGTTTGTACGAACAATTTTTCCCTCAATTAATACATAGGACAACAATTTCTTGGTAATTATCTGTCCGACAATAACCAATGCATGAACCTACCATAATGGGAATGTACATACCTAATTACATAACGTATATATGCACAAGACCATAAATACTGTGGCGCTACAATTCCATACACATTCAAACGACAACAAAAATTCCCTTGGGTTCAATGTCGTTTACCGAATTCCCCCTATATATTTCCCAACATGTTGTGGTTGCGTATGTGGACCTAACGATCTCTTAGGAGAAGGTGCACGCTTGCCATATGTGGCTCATCATCCCTAACCATTAGTCCATCCTCCCTAGGTGCTACCAAAGGTATTGCATATTGATTATGGTTGCCGCGTCATCCTTAGTTATTATGGAGTGCACAGTGGTTGGATTACCCGTATTTCTATGTATGTAGTTATGTAATGCCATCGACACACCAACTAAATGCACCTGCACAACCACAAAATCATAATGAGGCATATTCTCGATAAACCCCCATCAATTTTTCCACGCTCCGAATGTTCGTTCAACGACACTGCGTAACAACGAGTGTGCCTTCTTAAA